GCATTCGAATATCGATAGTCTTGATTAACTCAGGCACTGAAAAATCCCAATAACGAATAGTACCATCAAGCGAGGTGGTCCAACAATAACACAAAACCTTGGCGGCTGGATTCGACGCCGGTACCACTATGACCGAGGTGACGAGAGCCGTGTGACCCTCAAGTGACGTTATCTAAGCCCAACAAATTTCAGAAGATGAAAAGAAGAAGAATGAAGTGAAGACTGAAGAAGAAACAAAAGGAAAAGAAAAAACCTGCAAGCCAGTGGCGGAGCTGAAGATGGAGACGGTGTTGGCGGCGCAGACGAGGAGTTTCTTGGCGTCGTTAGAGAAGGCTGGAGGTGAAGAGACGAAGCTTCGACCACCTCTCATCATTGTTTCTCTCTGAGGGAGGCTCTCCTGTCAGAGAAAAAAATTTGTTGTTAGTCTTATGTCGTCGGCCGTGTCCCTGCCGCCTCGCAAAGCCCTAGCTAAACCCCTTTCAAAAATTGTCTTTTATTTTCTTTTCTTGGGTGTCTGTTCAAATGCTGAGCTGGCACTTTTTCATTTTCGAACAAATATTATTCGTACTAAAAATGAGTCCACGCTGGACTCAATTTTTTAAATTAATATTTATAAAAGGTTTTATAATTTTTAAAAATTTGTTTGTTTTTATATGTAAATTTAAATATATGTGAACTTTAATTTAAAATACTAAAAAACCGTCTGAATTATTCAACAATTTTTAAATAAATTTTTATATTTTTATTATTCTCAAATAAATTTTTATTAAGTTCTTATTTCAAACAAAGGTTAATTTATATTAATTATTTATTTAGGTATAAATTAAAAATTAAAAATTTATTTGAATATAAATTAAAATTTAGGTGTTTATTGTATATAAATTAAAGAATAAGAATTTATTTAAATGTAATAAAAATATAAACTTTACTTAAATAAAGTGATAAAGATAATTTCTTTTTGTTATTTTAGCCTTAGTTTTAATATCCATAAATTGTGAGATGTGATAGGATAATCATTTTATGAAATTCAGAAGCTGTATTTGGGCCAAATATGATATGGTTTGCAAATGACCCACCCATAATGGTCATTTGGTTTCTTTGTCATTAGACTGAAGGATTTGACAGAATCACAGAAAGATATATCTATTTCTAACAGATAAAACTGAAGGATTTGACAGAATCAGAGAAAGATATATCCAGTTTAACTAGGTGGATGCCATTTCAATTCCATATTTTCTCATTATAGGAGTTGCACTTGCACGTACTAAAGTAGAACTTGTTGCTACTAAAGAGGATTCTGAATCAAAAGGGATATCAGTCCAGGCTGTGTGGGTAGGAATGTTATTGTTAGGGACAGGAGGCTCACTCCAAAAATGGGCAAAAGGATTTGAAGGGGCAGGAATCTCCAATGCTCCTTCCAACATTTTCACCACAATGCTCATCAAAGGCCTCGACTCCGGCTTATATTGAACACACCATAAAGCTGTGTTGATCATTCTCTCTGCCATATCTCTATTCTTGTCCTGAATTCCGCAGACCATCATTAACTCAACAAGACTTCTTTCATTCTCAATCTTTTTCCACACCCATCTTGGAAACCATTCTTGGCTTTCAGGAAGATTTCTATCATGATTCCTTCTCTTTCCTATGATTTCAAACAGTAGCATCCCAAAGCTGTAAACATCACATTTATGGGTTATAGGATAGGGCATCCAAAGTTCTGGTGCTGCATATCCTGGAGTACCCCTTCCTCCTGTCATAGTTACATGAGTATTTTCCCTGTTGCAGAGCTTGGCCAAACCAAAATCAGCTACTTTAGGGAAGAATTTGGCATCCAAGAGAATATTTCCTGGTTTTATGTCATAGTGGATAATTCGTTGTTGGCATTCTTCGTGCAAGTAAGCAATCCCTTTCGCTGTGCCTACTGCAATCTCCTGAAGCTGTTCAAATCCCAATTTCTTGTCTTCACTATATAGAAGCTTGTCAAGCGAACCGTTTTTCATGTACTCATAAACAAGAGCTCTCAGATCCCTCTCGAAGCAGAAACCATAAAGTCGAACCAGATTAAAATGGTGAACTCTTCCAATTGTACTCACTTCTGCCATAAACTGTTCCTCGATTCTTTTGTCAGAAGCTCCATGCAAAGCTTTCACAGCCACCATGGTTCCATTGCTAAAAATTCCTTTATAAACAGCTCCAAAGCCACCTGAACCTAGTAAGTTGGTGAAATTATCAGTTGCAATCCTGAGCTGCTGAGATGTAAATCTGATAGGTTTCTCTCTTTCCATGTCATTCAGGAATTTATCCATGGTTAGTGTCAGAAAATGAGAGTCCGGGCAAACATCACTGCTTTGTGTTCGAGCTCTTTTACTGCATACGCATACCAAGATAAATGCCTTTATACCAATGAACACTGCAAAGTGTAAGAAATCAGTTACTATCCATAATTTATCACTTCTAACTTTTATTTTACATGAACCCAAAAATCAATAACAAAACCAAAGCAAATACATCCAAGGAAATCTCACCTACAGCTGTAATGATAACTACAGTTATATCAATGCTTACAACACCTGTCCCTGGACTTGACATTAATCAAGAGATGAAAGTACAGCAAAAGTATATTTGACAGACACAATGTTAGATGTTATGTAGAATAGAGCTGTTGGATAACAATTTGGGAAACAGATTATTTGAATTTCTAGCGTGCAAGAACAAAAGAAAGAATATACATACATACATGCATACATACATATATATACATATATATATATATATATATCATTGCATAATTTCTGAAAAATATCAGAAAGCAAAGAGAAGAAGGCCATCCATGCTGGGACGATTATTCCAAGTCTAGTGTCAAACTTTACCTTGGAACCAAGATCTACTTGTTTCAACTCCGTGTGGGGTATATCGCCTAATTATTAAAATACAAGGCCGGCTAGGATATATGTCGGGCCATATGTCGCTAATATCACCCAAATATCCTCGTATTATTGTTAAAGACATTTCATTATGAATAATTTCTTATTCTTTGCTTATTAGACTACGCTACCCGGAAAGCTATCTTTTAAAAAAAAAAATCATATTCAGTATTCAGAAAATAGATGCAATATTTGTCCCGTTCCATGTGTTAATAGCGACATGAAAACAATAAACACCAAAAAAAGGCTAATATTTATCTTATAGATGAGAATATTATAAGATGTACACCAATTTAATAAGGGAAAAAGAAGAGGAGGTGAAAGAGGGGAGAAGAAACAAAGAATTGCCCTGTTATTACAGAAAAGTTCAAGTCAAGTAATCCTTATTTGTTCTCTAGGAAGGTTTAACATTGATTAAAGTTTTATTCATGCAAAAGAAATCTCATGTAGGAGTTGAAGGGTGACAGAGGATTAATTCACTATTATATTTCCTTTTGGCATGAAGCTGTATCTGAATCCTTCTACGTTAGCTTGATAAATGTCCACCATTAAGTGCAGAAACACAGGGCCATACACAATATACAGCATGTAAAAATATCCAAACCCAGCAAACCAAGAAACTGAACAAGGGCCCTTGCCACCCCAATGTGAAGTATACATATGTTGATCTTAAACCACCCAATAGTTGACAGTTTGGCCAACAAGATGAAACGATAATATAAACGTCTCATATGCCTGCATGCACATACATGCATGAGAGAGGGGGGTAAATGCATGGATAAGAAATTAATGCTACAAAATAATGCTTTTTATAATAAAATAAAAATACAATACATAAAGTGTATGTCCTCAACAGTTGATAGTAATGTCAATGCTAGAATTGACTATTAAGGAGATTGCACAACTCCCAGCCTAGTACACAAACAAGCTCAGTTAGCTGCTACAGTAGTAGGTAGAGAACCACATACAATCTGATCTCATCCCCACATGTGAACAAAGTTACCTTCAAGAATCCAAATGTCTTTTGGCCATTCCGTGCATTAAGTGTATAGATATAATAAAAAATGGAGACACAACAAGCATCCTCACCTGGTGCAAGTTCTGCGTAACAGCAAAATCCACTGTGATTAAAACATACTCATTACAGGTGTGTGTGTGTGTGTCTATATATATATATATATATATATATATATATATAAAACTTAATGAAAAAGAAAAACAATAGAAAAAGAGAAAGGGGGGACTTCAAATATCTCGTTACCAGCCAAAGAAGATGCCACAAACTCTGTATTTTGCTTGATATTTCTTTCACTTTTACACTTTCCCTTTCCTGCAATAAAAATGATTTCAAATGTTTAATCAAGTCAATATCATAACCATCAAAATGACAAGTAATAACATAGTGAAAACAATTATATGAACATTTTTGTTCGTCACGACATCAATGTTACTTCCATGGTGTGTATCTAATATAATTAAAAGCAATGCACTTCAATAGGCTTAATCACCTTTAGACATTAAGTTGACCATGAACATCATATAGTGATCTGAGTAGCACTTCCCGAAAATAAGATAAAATTCAGAAAACACAGCATCAATTCAAACTTATCTGTATCAATCAAGAAGAATATAAGTGTATATAAAAGTATTGCAAGTACAGGAAGACCAGTCAGGAGATTTATTCATAGTGGGCCAGACATATGCTTTTGCTCTATCTCTATTCTCTGATTTATTCTGTTTTACCTGCCATTCCAAGCAAAGAGTCAAAGCTTACAACAATTAGGATCGAATACGACTTAATTAAAGCAGCTTTAAATTGTTATAAATGCTCACTTACCATACCATAATTCATTACAAGGTGAAAATCCAATCATTAAGACATCTTTCGAACAATCTGTTTAGTTGTTTACTTTGATAAGTTTCAAAGTGGAAGTGAAATTATGCTCTATTCTTTTAGGGTTAAGGAATGAAGCTCCTTTTCCAAAAAATGAAATACAATAATTTCCAGATTACAATAAGAAACCATATGTTTGTTTTGCAAATGACCCACCCATGATGGTTATTTGGTTTCTTTGTCATTAGCTTCCACTCTAGACTGAGTACCTTGATGGATCATAAGCCTGTGAATTGTTGTAATGCAAGTGTAATTGCCATAGGATTTGGGATCCAGCATAGCAACAGCTAAAGCTTGAAACTGGAAACTGCTCTAGTTTAACTAACACATAAAACTGAAGGATTTGACAGAAAGATGTATCCAGTTTAACTAGGTGGATGCCATTTCAATTCCATATTTTCTCATTATAGGAGTTGCATTTGCACATACTAAAGTAGAACTTGTTGCTACTGAAGAGGATTCTGAATCAAATGGGATGCCAGTCCAGGCTGTGTGGGTAGAAATATTATTGTTAGGGACAGGAGGCTCACTCCAAAAATGGGCAAAAGGATTTGAAGGGGCAGGAATCTCCAATGCTCCTTCCAACATTTTCACCACAATGCTCATCAAAGGCCTCGACTCCGGCTTATATTGCACGCACCACAAAGCTGTTTTGATCATTCTCTCAGCCATATCTCTATTCTTGTCCTGAATTCCGCAGACTATCATTAACTCAACAAGACTTCTTCCATTCTCAATCTTTTTCCACACCCATCTTGGAAGCCATTCTTGGCTTTCAGGAAGATTTCTATCAAGGTTCCTTCTCTTGCCTATGATTTCAAACAGTAGCATCCCAAAGCTGTAAACATCACATTTATGGGTTATAGGATAGGGCATCCAAAGTTCTGGTGCTGCATATCCTGGAGTACCCCTTCCTCCTGTCAAAGTTACATGAGTATTTTCCCTGTTGCAGAGCTTGGCCAAACCAAAATCAGCTACTTTAGGGAAGAATTTGGCATCCAAGAGAATATTTCCTGGTTTTATGTCATAGTGGATAATTCGTTGTTGGCATTCTTCGTGCAAGTAAGCAATCCCTTTCGCTGTGCCTACTGCAATCTCCTGAAGCTGTTCAAATCCCAATTTCTTGTCTTCACTATATAGAAGCTTGTCAAGCGAACCGTTTTTCATGTACTCATAAACAAGAGCTCTCAGATCCCTCTCGAAGCAGAAACCATAAAGTCGAACCAGATTAAAATGGTGAACTCTTCCAATTGTACTCACTTCTGCCATAAACTGTTCCTCGATTCTTTTGTCAGAAGCTCCATGCAAAGCTTTCACAGCCACCATGGTTCCATTGCTAAAAATTCCTTTATAAACAGCTCCAAAGCCACCTGAACCTAGCAAATTGGTGAAATTATCAGTTGCAATCCTGAGCTGCTGAGAGGTAAATCTGATAGGCTTCTCTCTTTCTATGTCATTCAGGAATTTATCCATGGTTAGTGTCAGAAATTGAGAGTCTGGGCAAACATTGCTGCTTTGTGTTGTAGCTCTTTTACTGCAAACGTATACCAAGATAAATACCTTTATAACAACAATGAACACTGCAAAGTGTAAGAAATCAGTTACTATCCATAATTTATCACTTCTAAATTTTATTTTAGATGAACCCAAAAATCAGTAACAAAACCAAAGCAAATACATCCAAGGAAATCTCACCTACAGTTGCAATTGTAACTGTAGCTGCATCATTGTGTGCACCACCTGTCCCTGGACTTGACATTAATCAAGAGATGAAAGTAGAGCAAAAATATATTTAATTGACACAATGTTAGATGTCACGTAGAATAGAGCTGTTGTTTAACAATTTGGGAAACATTTTATGTAAATTGTTAACGTGCAAGAACAAAAGAAAGAATATACATACATACATATATATATATATATATATCATTACATAATTCTGAGAAATTTCAGAAAACAAAGTGATGAAGCCATTCATGCTGGGACGATTATTCCAAGTCTAGTGTCAAACTTTACCTTGGAACCACGAATCTACTTGTTTCTACTCCGTGTGGGGTATATCGCCTAATTATTAAAATACAAGGCCGGCAAGGATATCCATCGGACCATATTTCGCTACATATTATCGTTAAAGACTTTTCACCATGAAAAATTTCTTATTCTTTGCCTATTTGACTTTGCTACCTGGAAAGCTATCTTCAAAAAATTCATATTCAATATTCAGAAAATAGATGCAATATTTGTCTGGTTCCATGTGTTAAAAGTGACCTTTGAAAACAATAAACACTAAAAAAATAGGCAAATATTTATCTTATAGATGAGAATATTATAGGATGTACTGACCAATTTTATAAGGGCAAAAGAGAGGGAGGTGGAGGGGAGAAGGAAAGAATTGCCCTGCTATTACAGAAAGCTCCAAGTCAAGCAATCCTTATTTGTTCTCTAAGAAGATTTAACATTGATTAAAGTTTATTCAAGAAAAAGAAATCTCATTCAGGAGTTGAAGGGTGACAGAGGATTCATTCACTATTATAATTCCTTTTGGCATGAAGCTGTATCTGAATCCTTCCACCTTAGCTTGACAGTGTCTACCATTAAGTGCAGAAACACACGGTCATACACAATATACCGCATCTAAAAATATCCAAACCCAGCAAACCAAGAAACTAAGCAAGGACCCTTGCCACCCCAATGTGAAGTATATATATATTGATCTTAAACCACCCAAGAGCTGACAGTTTGGCCAACAAAATGAACCAGTAATATAAGTGTCTCACATGCCTGCATGCACATACATGCATGGAGAGGGGGGCAAATGCATGGATAAGAAATTAATGTTACAAAATAATGCTTTTATAATAAAATAAAAATACAATACATTAAAGTGTAAAGTGTATGTCCTCAACAGTTGATAGTAATCTCAATGCTAGAAATTGACTGTTAAGGAGATTACACAACTCCTAACCTATTACATAAACAAGCTCAGTTAGCTGCTGCAGTAGTAGGTAGAGAAGCACATACAATCTGATCTGATCGCCACTTATGAACAAAGTTACCCTCAAGAATCCATTAGTCTTTTAGCCATTCCATGCATTAAGTATATAGATATAATACAATATGGAGACACAACAAGCATCCTCACCTGGTGCAAGTTTGGCATAACAGCAAAATCCACTGTGATTAAAACATACTCATTACACACACATATATATATATATATATATAAATTTTTGAAAAAGGAAAACAATCGAAAAAGAAAAAGAGGGGACTTCAAATATCTCATTACCAGCCAAAGAAGATGCTACACACTCTGTATTTTGCTTGATATTTCTTTCACTTTTACACTTTCGCTTTCCTGCAATAAAAATAATTTCAAATGTTTAATCAAGTCAATATCATAACCATCAAGTAGTTATGATGAAAATGACAAGTAAAAACATAGTGAAAAAAATTACATGAACATTTTAGCACGTCACGACATCAATGTTACTTCCGTGGTGTGTTTCTAATATAATTAAAAGCAATGCACTTCAATAGGCTTAATCACCTATAGACATTAAGTTGACCATGAACATCATATAGTAATTTGAGTAGCACTTCCCGAAAATAAGATAAAATTCAGAAAACACAGCATTGATTCAAACTTATCTATATCAATCAAGAAAAGTATATGTGTATATAAAAGCACTGCAAGTACAGGAAGACCAATCTGGAGATTCATACATAGTGGGCCAAACATATGCTTTTGTTCTATCACTATTCTTTAATTTATTCTTTTTTCACTTGGCCATTCCAAGCAAAGAGTCAGAGCTTACAACAATTAGGATCGAATATCACTAATTAAAGCAGCTCTAGAATGTTATAAATGCTCCCTTACCATACCATAATTCACTACAAGGTGAAAATCCAATCATTAAGACATCTTTTGAACATAAATAATCTGTTTAGTTGTTTACTTTGATAAGATTCAAAGTGGAAGCGAAACTATGGTCTATTCTTTTAGGGTTAAGGAATGAAGCTCCTAGTCCAAAAATTGAAATACAATATTTTCCAGGTTACGATAAGAAACCATAATAGTATTGCAATTTGTCCTTACAATCAAACAACCCAGCTAGTAATTTTTGCAGACATATGATATTGAAAATACTTTCAATCGAGGTGGAAAAAAGAGGGGGGGGGGTATTTTAACAAGACCCTTGCTAGATACAAATAAGTTTAAACATCAATTGATTGGGCCACATGAATGAGGTAACCTTAATAGTGAAAATAGTGAAAAAGTTCATCCCTTTGAACATGTTTTGAAACCAGAGGTACCTTGCTGCTATGCAAAAATCATCAATATATCATCAAGATACAACTAATTAGCTGAAATTCCGTCACATTTACAGGGTCCGAATGACAATGACAATGAGCTCTCTATTGTTGAGGATAATCTTGACGAATGAACCAACCACATGACTTTAAACTAAAGTAGTTAAGAACTTCAGCAAAAGGTGAAACATTTTGGAGTTAGGCAAAGATAACCTTCCAGACAAGGAGTGGAAAAGGAGATTAGAGATTCTGTGCACTGGGTTTCAAATAAAAAATGAACTGAAGAGAGAAAGAGAGTCAGAACATCAAAATCCTACATGCAGAAGATGCAAAAGCTCTTGACATTCAACTCAGAGATGGGAAGAATCAAAATTCATATTTTGCTTTGTCCAAAGGCTAGGGTTTCAAGCAGCAGAGAATCCTTAACATTTGATTTGAGGATAAGCAACTAAAACGCTTTAGTTGAAGTTCAAATTATGCCCCTTGACTCTCACAAAAGATCATGCATCAATGTCTGCCTTCACAAAGTATTCCAACTCCATGACAATACCTACCACACCATGCAAGTCTCCCTCACAAGTTAAACAAAACTATAGGGACTCTTCACGAATGTTACTACAGGTTTTTATTACCTATAAAGCACCTCAAAGCATCACTTCCAGTTTAAGAAATTATTAATTTTTTTACCAATATTCTAACCAGTTCTAGATAGTAATCACTAACGACGACAAAAGTTAGCTGAGAAATCAAGTTTTAAATGTTATTCATCAGTTGCAAGAACAAAAGAACTAGATCTATGACCCCAAGTGTTAGGTAAACACTGACGCTTGAAAGGTTTTGGACGTATAAGATGCACGTTAGAGACCAATAAGCCCCTTCTTTTTCCATCTGGAAAAATGAATCATTTTACCTACTTTCTACTCGATCTAGAACCAATTCCTTTAAAAGATCTAAAGATGCCAATTTTTTCTTCATTTCAGAAATACCAAAAACCATAGATAACCTCAAGTTCACACATAACATGTCAATATAATCCAGGAAAGGAATGAGAGCAGGATATGAAGCTTCCTTAAATAAGATCAAGCAACCAACTTTAAACTATATTTAGAGACTCCAAAAGAATTGAAGAATAAAAGCCCAACTTTTTAGGGTCAAATAATGCAATGATATAGTACGATATCATTGTTTATAACAAATAAAATAAAAGTAATTGCTTATAAACTACTTCAAAAGTACCTTCAGCAATTCTTTGTTTTCACCAAACCAAGCAATAATACCAGACTAAGGAGCTAAAAGTTATGGTCTGAAAACTTGATTTTCCCTTAAAAATGTACCATTAAGAGAATTTATTTTCACTTACCAATCCCTTGCTCTCATAATAGTCGTCCAATGCCCACTGATACTTGGACTGATTTAAGCCAAACCAGCGAGCTAAATAGTCATCCAAGCTTGAATGAGCTGCAAAAAATCAACAAGAAAAGATACTAATACAGACGATTTTTCAGTTTATTGTCAGCAAAATAAAGAAGGATGAAAAGAATTGAACTATAAATAAACCCATTTCATTTCCATTTAAAACTTCAAAAAAAAAATCTTTTTTTCAAAGAAAATAAAAGTGGAGAGAAAAAGGAAGACACCATTTTGGACTTTAGAGGCAGCATTTTTGAAGAAACCCAGGATGGAGCCATCAGAATGGGAAGCAACAAAAGACTTATCAAACTGTTGGGGTGGCGGCTGGACAGGAGGAGCAGGTGCAGCAGCAGGAGGCGCCACCACCTTCTTGGGAGACTCAAAGATAGGTGGTTCAGTGGGGGTAGGGGTAGAAGGCGGGGTAACGAAGACAGTGTAGGGGCCGATCTTGCCGATCATGGGCGGGGGAGTAGAAGGGTTTTTGTTGATTGGCATTTTTTGGACCAAAAAAATGGAAGGAAAGAAAGAAGAGAGAAAAAAGAGTGAGACCGTGAGACTGTGAGACTGTGAGGGATTGGTTGGTGATAGAGATAAACAGAGCAGGGGACAGCTGAGTGGAACAGTGTCACGCAACCCAAGTGGGGGAACGTGGTGTGGTCTTCCTTTAGATGCTTTTTTATATTTTTGTCTGCTTGATACTTTGATACCTTCACCTTCGCTTTCACCTTTTTTTTTTTTTTGAAGTATATTTATGAATAATAAATGTATTTTTATGAATAATTATATAAAATATACACTCATTAATAATTAATATTTTAATTTTTTTTTTCTTTTCAGTCTTTCTTTTCGCAGAAAGTGATTAAAATGATTAAGAAACACGGAGCATCAGCTTTTCGCAGCAGGACTTAAAAAAAATATTAAAAAAATCAATTCAAAATCATGATTCGATTTGAATTAATTTTTTATTTAATTAAAATAAATTTAAATATTAAATATATACCAATTTAAATAAAAAATAAAAAATTAAATTGAATTAAATTAAATTATATATTTTTATTAATTTTTATATATATTTTAAATTTTTATAAATAAAATAATTATTTTATATCTAAATTTATTTAAATAAATTATAAATTATATTACAATAATGCATAAAAAATAAAAAATTAAATTTCAAAAATTAATAAATCATATCAATATAATCAACTTTTAATAAAAATCAATTTAAATTCGAATCAAATTTAAAAAATTTATAATATCATAAATTATTTAAAAAATTGAAACAAATCCCGAATTAAAATTAAATTTTAAAAATTTATAATATTATACATTATTCAAAAATTCAAATCAAATTCAATTTAAACTAAATATAAGCCTTGATACCACAAACAATCCTGTAATGGAATGACATATCACTAAAATAATAGGTTAATATAAACATGCAACATCCTTATTTTTTTCAAATTTCTTTTTAATTACAGAATATAAATTCAAGAGATGGGGCACAACAACTAGCACCTACATTATTTAAATTACCTGTCTATCCTACCAACTAAGAGTAAACCATTGTCAGCATTGTTAGACAGTTCAAACAAACCTTACTAAAAAAACAAAAACATATTTTCAAGTTACTCATTTCAAAGTTTTTATCCGGAGAGAGAACAACCTCGTACAAGAAAATGAATCGCAGGAAAATCACCTAATACAAATGTCTTGACATGATCGGAGGAATGTTTGTCAAAGAGTTCTTTGTCGCTTTTTTATTTTCCTTTTCTTTTCTAGTGACCCAAGGATGTTCACCAATCATGTTCTCAGAATCGTATCTCATCTTGGAGTCGAGGACTGGTTTTGAGTCGTGACTCCGTTATAACAGATTACTATTCCATTTGCACATCCTCTTTTAGCCATGACTGAAATCAGACAACTGACTTGCCAAGGATAGCTCATGGAGCTCAGTTAGCATCCATTCCTCACCTGTTTGACCGCCAAGTACAATTGCCCTTGTCCCACCAACAACACACGTACTGTGCCCCCAAGCAAACCTTGGGGGTCGCCCAGGCACATTCAGTATCCTCCAATTAGGTTTTTCATCAGTTGGGTCGAGAAGATAAAGTTGGGAAGCAGAGTGAAGACCAGCAACAGACCCACCAAAGATGAGAATTCTTCCACCGGGAAGGCTCACAGCAACATGATCAAGTCTTGGAGGTGGAGCTATGCCCCCCGGATTTCCAGCCCCAGGCATTCCACTCCCAGTTACACATCTCCAACATGGTTCCTCCTCACTTAAATCCATTGTGAAAACATCACTAGAACGGAACCGGAGTGGACCACTCTTAGCAAGACCTCCAAACATCAATATTTTCCGACCACCATACACTGACAGTGTGTGACCCAAACGAGAAGGTGGGGTCCATGCTACAGGTATCTCTCTCCAGACAGGTTTCTCCATTGAAAGATCTAGCAAGAAAGTGTCACTAAGAAGTACTCCCGAATCTGCACAACCACCAGAAACTATGAGCTTGGTCCCATCAAGAGTGCAGGAGCTGTGCCATGATCTAGGAAGTGGGGGAGCCAATCCTGAGATCTCTCGCCAGGTTGGAGGCTTTGCATCCAAATCTAGCACAAAAACATCATTGAGCAGGCCCTGCCTTCCACAGCCTCCAAATACCACCAGATGAGACCCATTCACACAAGAAAGTGTATGACCCCAACGACCAGGAGGAGGAGAGCTCACTTGGACATGTTGCCACTCTGGGTTGCTGGAATTTAGATCCAATACAAAGGTGTCATTCATTGGTTGCATGTTTACTCCTTCACCACCAAAAAGTACAACCCGATTCCCAACAGCACAAGCACTAAAGTTGCACCGTGAAGGTTCAACAGCACCTCCAACAGTAAGCTTCCTCCATGCAGCTGCTTCAAGAGTGGTCAATTCCCTTGCCAGCCTACCCCACCCAAGTCTCTTTGCACCAGGAACTGTCTCTAAAACACGAGTAGTCTCGCAACCCCATGCATTTTGACAGACCATCCGCCAAAGATCCTCATTTTTTGTCAGCTCATAAAGTCGCCTACAGACAGAACCAACTGATGCAATATCTCTTGGTGTAAGTCGTGAAAGTATCTTGAGAGATAATACCTCATCACTCAATTGCAATATCCCACAAAACCCACGGCAGACATTTCTGTCCTCAACTATGATAGGCTGAAAAGCAGAAAAACCAGAACGAAAACGGTCAGATGACTTCATGGACTCCTTTACTGAAGATCCCAACACTGGACCTAGATCAATGTTTGCTTCTGTGAAGAACTGGATCCCAATAACATGAGTTATTGTCTCATCATCTCCATATATTGGAGTAAGACGCAGTCTGTTCATCAATGGAGATCCATCCTTTCTAAAGTTTAACAACTCGCCTTGGAATTCAATGCCCTCCTCAAGGCATCTCCTAATTTCAGAAACTACTGTGGAGTCCACCAAAGGATGTCGTCTTTTCGCAAATAGTCCTCTACACTGTAAAAAACGGCTGAAACAAAATCATACAAATATCAGAACAAAGCAAAATAATCGCAAAAATATTCTTTTTCTCTTTCAACAAGAAAAATTATGGATGGCAAGGGGCATAACTAAAGTAAACAGGAAAAATAAACAAAAACTTTCAAGGTGATTCATAGTAAGTAGTAGCCAATATATGAGAGGAAGAGGGGGTAGTAGGGGGTATGAGCTTTCAATTTAAAATGATGTTCCATCAATTGATACAAAGAACACGAAAGGATAGAAAAGAACCTATTAAAAACCTTCTCAAGCAAAGTTACAACACAACATATAGTTGTCACCTTTAACCCCTCCCTTGTTCAATTGTGCAGTTGTAACCAATAAGCATAAAATTACCAACACAAACAGATATGCAACTTTAGAAGCTTCAGCATCACCAAGGAAAATAGAAATTAACCAAAATCCAACAATTTCAGGCTAGAACCAAAATATTTAATAAAATAGACTTAACACAGCAGTGGCTAAGACATGCGAAAACAAAACAAAGATTTAATAATAATTGGCTCAAATACTCGTTGACAACTTCAACAATGAAAACTCCTTGACAATGGATGCGTAGCATCTCTAAAACTGATGGCCCAACTATCAACGTATAGATGCAACATTTTGATCCAAAACCATGTATGAATGTAACCAAAATCCAAAACTTAAAGAGCATTGCAACATTTAAGTATAAATGATCCAAAACCATTCAAAAAAAGCATTAGCAATGAGCTCATAAAAAATATGCAACATAAATTAAAACTCAAAACATCAGTTAAAAACAAAGAAAAAGTTTTCCATGTAAACCAAAGAGGCAAAGACCTTTTATAGGGATGGGATCAATGATTCAAATCCATCCAAAAGAACCATTAGCAGTTCAATTATGCAAATACATAACTCAGAAATTGATGTAGCATACAAATATCAAAGAATAATAAAAATTGTAACAGTTAACAGATATGATCATCATAGTCATTTGGCTTCAACTTAAAAATGTAGACAAATATTGAAACAGCCAATTTTTACAGCCATATCATTGAAAGAAAATAAGAATTCCTTCTATCCAGCAAATTCCATTCACACACATGCTTTGGAGTCCTCCCACCATCTTGCAGAGAAACATGCAAAAGAAAAAGCTAAACGTTTTCACATTTTCACACATCTGTATCTAGTCGACCGATATCTAGCACTAGAAAGCCTGTAAAAAGAATGAAGAAATCACTTCCAGATTCACTTCTTTTTTAGGGAAAGATGCTGGTGCAATCTTCTTAAGTTATGTGCTTCTTACTAATGTCCTTAAAAGGAGATAAGGAAACTAAGGATAGCAATCAACTTATAGATATAAGGTATATGAAATAAGAATGACACTAGCTTGTAGCATTTACATGGTGAAGGATGAAATTAGGCCTTGGCTTTGGTTCATCAACAAGGATAGTGAAACAAACCTTATTAACCTAGCATGTGATAAAGATATCATAGTACAAATCTTTAAAACTTCTTCTACTGCTCTAATAATAGGAAAATATCATTAAGGCCGATTTTTGTTCTGAGTTTTCAACAACAATGTGATAAGTAATAGTATTATATGTTGACAATATATCAAAAGAAATTGACAATATTACTTACCAAAAAAATATAGTGACAATACAACAATTTATCTACAACCATGTTGAGACTTTGGTGGAAAGATGACCAAGATTGTATACATTTTAAACATAAGGAAGAAGGGAAGAACAGTTAGCACTAACATTAGAACTTTACAGAAGCATTTGATCGTACAATGTGTAATCCTATGTAAAGATAACACAACTTTTTCCAACCCTACAGGTCCACAGAAATATTATTATTGTGGAGCACAAACAAAATGTGCATCTTGAAAACAATGCAACCATAGTAGAACATCTCAGGCTGGAAGTTGCCAAACTTAAATAAAATAAAATAACTTTAACTGGTTTGTTTGCAAGAAAACCAGATGCTAATATCTTAACAAAAAGTACATTAACTGCACAATACAACAACAACAACACACTAAGCCCTGTATCCCAGTTTCTGGGGTCAGCTGTATGAAAAACCAAATAAGAGAATCAACTGCACAATATATATAGTATATACAATTGTTCACCATTTCTAGCTGTAACTGTAAAGTCCTGCAGAAGGGAAAGAAGAATCAATGTGCAAGCAACATACACCGGTAGGTAA